CAGAATATTTGATGCAGCCTAATCCAAAATCTAGAAAATGAGTCTCAATATGTTAAAGCCAACTGTTAGTCCCAATGAGATCAGCCCTATTGAACCAACTGGACTTACACAACTGTTGACTCAGCAAGTTCCATGTATTCAATGGGTCCACCCGAGTTGGGATGAAGCATTGGATTTAGTTTAAAGGAGAATGCTAAACCACTTCTGAGTACTCTATATCTGGAAAACCCTGGAAAGTGTCAGTGTAACTTGGAATTGACATGATGGCACACAATTATTACTATTTACAAGGATGCACTATAATTATGGATAAGTATGGATGTAGCAAGCATACTTCCTCTCTTCCTCTCTGATATCATGCCAAACATGACAGCAAGTGAACTGAGTTGCCATATTATTTGCATTTCTTATAGTATTGGCAAAAATTGGGAAAATCATTAAAGTAATAATTAAGAATCCTACACACATGCTAGACAAAACTGTTTTCTGGATTTTTTGTTTGGATGAGTGCAGCGGTATATGTATATGCCAACTGTCCAAGACATTTTGGAATGATCAGTCTTTCTGCTCATCAGTGTTCAGTGCAGTAAGATTCTTCACACTTGAAGCAAAGGTTTGCTAACATGATAAAAGTGCAGTGACACTATGGTATTATTTTTACTTCCAACGTGTAAATACATCAAAAAATGGAAAACATTTTTAAAGCTTTATAACTATGTTTTGCATAATACTACAAACATTCTGAAACCTGAATTTAAATTCAACTTTCTCATTTGTAAAAACATCAAGAATCCATTCCATAGCTAGTTTAGTTCTAGGGTGGATAAAAATTAATGATTTTTGTTAAAAAGCAAATTGATTTAAACCATGATTTAAATTAAAAATTTGATTTTTTTAAAAATTTAAATTGCAAACTGCAGTGGAACCTGTTAAATTCAGCATGGTACAGCTGTAGAGCTACTGCTGCTTTCTCTCATGCTGGCCAACCTCAGGGTTCTTACTGGAAAGATGTCAGAAAGGGCTTTGTTTTGAATTTTAAAATATAAACAGATAAATATGGCTGAACAGGATGCTTGGAGTAACTAGGATCCATATTGTTTAAAGCTTTAAATCAGGCTTGTCCAACCTGCGGCCTGAGGGCCGCATGCGGCCCAGGTCAGCTCGTAATGCGGCCCAGTGCAATTTTTTATTTTTAAAGAAATTCCAAAGTTTCAAGTTACACTGCCATCGCTTGCGGCTGGAATGTGGCCGGGGCATGTCACGACAGTAGAGGGGGCGAGAGGGAAGGAAGGAAGGAGTGGGAGGGGACAGGGGGGCTGCGTGACTGCATTGCGTTGTCCCCGTCAATAGGTGGACCCCCTCCCGGGCCCATAAAGCCGCCAGAGTCGAAGCTGGCAGCCTCTGCTGTCTGAGATCGCAGCTGCCAGTAAGCGCGCTTGGAACGGGGCTGTGGAGGACGGCTAGGGCTGCCCCCTCCATGCGGCCCAAACCAAATGTATGTGCGGCCCAAACCAAATTTTCATCTTCTAATGTGGCCCAGGGAAGGTGAAAAGTTGGACACCCCTGCTTTAAATCATGCTTGGAAACAATAATGCAAATAGGTGTAACTGTGTTCCAGGTGGCTGCATTCTGCACTAGCTAAAGTTCCCAGACAACCTTTAGAGACAACCAAATTTACAGTGCATTACAAAAGTCTGGCCAGGCATCACTAAAAAGATGAATAACTGAGGAAAGAGCAGACCTTTTCAGATAGCTAGCTCACATAAACTGGTAATTCCTGGCCACCTGAGTTTCTCCAGCAAATGCAGACTATTCTCAAAATGTTTAACTGGTCTTTTAGAGGGTGTTCAATTCCTTTTAGGACTTGATGTACATTTTCTTCCACAGCAGATTCAAGGGACTTTGTCTGGATTAAGGATCAACTTGTTCATCTTCATCTATCCCGACTAGTCAACAGAAGTTGGTTCAAAAGCTCCCTTGCTTCTCCGAAAGAAGCAGATGTAAACAAGAGGAAAGCTGAGAATCATCCACAGACTGATATTTCAACCCAAATGTCTGGATTATTGCCCCAGAGTGATTTCATGTATCTGTTAATAACCTTCTACTGCTGACACATTTAAATTAAATTCTCAGCTATGTGTGATCCCATCCCTCACAAACCTTCTGCCATTCGTGTCCTAGTCATTGACCCTTGCATTTCATTCTCTCAAATCCTCAGAATACTAAGGTGTTGTAATAATATTAAAATGGCATATAGGATAGTGTTTCCTATATGCCTTCCTCTCCTTCAAATAAAGACCAGGACCTCTGGTTACATCCCAAGGAAAATCCTCAAAAGACTACTAAGAAATAAAGTATTTGGATCTATTAGGTTTTGGTTTCCCACTAGTGCACAGATTACAAAAGCCAAAAACTAAAAACTGGTCAAGGAATGCTTTGTCTATGTTTACTGGTTCTCCACCCACATATAATTTCTCTTTAGTCTTACATACCATGTTTCCCCGAAAATAAGACAGGGTCTTATACTAATTTTTGCTCCAAAAACACATTAGGGCTTATTTTCAGGGGATGTTTCATTTTTTTCATGTACAACAATCTACATTTATTCAAATATAGTCATGTCATCTTCTGGTTGCTGCACAATAGTGGAGGACAGGTTTCACTTAACTGGGGCTTATTTTTGGGGTAGGGCTTATATTACAAACATCCTGAAAAATCATACTAGGGCTTATTTTCAGGTTAGGTCTCATTTTCAGGGAAACAGGGTATGAAAAATAAGATATAAGGAAAATCAAATGTTGTCATATGTGCTGGCTCACAAATTAACTAAGACAGGCTTCATGAGATCCTGAGCTGCTCCTGATAGTAGCTTCAGCATCAATAAATATCCCAAATTATCAATCTGTCAGCCCATTAAGGGAGACTGTCATTGACTGAATCCCCCAGAGCCTCATAGAATCTCAGTTTAGTCTCGAGTTTCCAACAACAGGTGCACATACTAAAAACTGGCCAACTACTAGACAAGAACATAACAAATGAGATGGAATCACTGTACAAATGATATCACCTCTTCATCATTTTTAAGAAGAACTTGTAGTTGTATTTCAGAATCCTGTAATCTCTCTCAGTTTATCAATTCTTGGTAATGCAAGTCAGATTGACATGATGCCCTCTAGTTAGGTCAGTGATAAAAAGTTCCTTCCAATTAATTGACAAACCATTCCTTAGCAGCCCTACAGACTAGAAGGGATATTGCTACCCAACAGAGTTCCTGAGGCTGGAAGTTGGACTAATAGCAAAACCAGCATTTCATAGTCTAGATTGTTCTCCTGTCAGACAATAACTTCATTTCCTACAGCATCATGACATTGTCTTTTCTGCAGTTTACTAACACTGGCTTCATAAACCTCTTTCTTCCAAATATGCCCCAATCAATCTTAAGTCTACAAAACAGTTTACACAACTGATATAGATAATATAATAAGCTTAGAAAAGTTTATGTCAACTAAACTCTGGAAAAAATATTGACTTTTTAAAATGGAAAGCTAGGCATACATTTAGCCATTCCTTTTCAACTGTATTTAATAACTGCTGAAGAAAGCTTGTGTGCGTGTTGTGGGGGGCTTTCTTCATAAACTACTCTGGCTACTGGACTACTGACTACTATTCAACAGTACATTTTATGTCACCTATGACGTTATTATCACAAAGGATGTAATTAAAGCAAATACCAAAGAAGTAAGTGTTGCAGATAATACATCATCTCTTAAAAGTGAGAAACCCATATATCATAGATTTCAATAAAGAGTAATAAATTTCAAATAACTAAATGTTCTGGTCAACTGACACCAAAATGTTTGAATGTATGTCACAGTATAATACTGCAGACAGAGCTAAAGTTGAAGACTAACCCTGTTAGGATCAATATTTATTTATTTATTTATTTTATTTATATCCCGCCATATATGTACAGAAGGGCAGACAATGGGAAAGATAGCAATCTTACCGTCCACCAGCAGGTATGTTCTATTGTTACCCTTAATGGCTGTTAAAAGAAGGAGAATGGATGGAAACAGATTCTTATTTTCACCCAAACATTCACTGAGATGTTCATTCTCAATGGAAAACATGTGAGACAAGAACTTAATTTCCCATTGATTTAATTTGATTTCTTGAACTGTACTAGGTACTGTAAAAGCACTGACCTAGTCATTCATTTGTCTGAAGGTCAGAATAAACAAACTAATTGTTTTGTTTCCCTGGAGATAATCTGTTCTTCCTGTATTCATTATTCATGGGTTTACCTCCAGGTACCATCTACTAACACAATATCTGCCAATTTCATATTGGAACTTCCCCTAGTGTTTAAAGATCAGACAGAAGCTATGTAAATATATAGAGAGAACTGTAATGGAACTTCACTGCTATCTTTCAGCTGCCATACTTAGACAAGACCATTGCAAATTAGAGCTTCAGTCACAATCCTGACTCACAATTTCCAGAAATAATATAGTGTGCTTTGATGTGACAACACAGAAATGAATTCTGGACAATATTCTGATATATTCTCGAAATAATTTGTGTGAATGAGCCACATGGATGTTAATTTTCCTTATAAAATACAGTAGAAACGAGAAGAAAAGCTAAATGTCAATAACAGAAAATTTTCAAGAAGAAAATAATCAAGGAACAACTGATAATAAATTACTTGCTAAAAGCTCTGAAAACTAAAACATGAAAGAACTACTGTAGAAAAGCAGCATGGGACATATCCTAGTCACTGAAACAAAGTCAGTGGTCTAATAAGCATACATTAATCTAGGAATTACACGATTAAGTCATGGCAGTTTGTCACCTTGTAACCTGCTTTAACACCAATTAACAGTGTTACACTGACAATGCTGAATACTATAATTAGCAAGGAAATGTTTAAACATTGCAGATGATGCATTATATAGTCAAACAGTACCCAGAGCCCAGAATTAACTGATAATCCTCACCTCTTTGGGGAGCAAGGAAATAAAGTCTCGTTGAAACTGGGGCTCTATCACTTGCATCATATGTTTCACTTGTGTTGGTTCACAACTATCAATCAATTCATCTAAGGCAAGTAACTTCTCTGGTCCACTCCAGCTCTGTGGGAGACAAAATTATGCTTAGTTTCCATAGTGTTATTTAAGTATGCACTTCATAACTTTATATTTGAAAGTTGTTGTAAGAACACACTGTGATGAAAGCAGACTGGAGTATCATGTAGTACTTCGGAAGAAAATGTAAATGAAAAGCAGGTGCACACAGTCATCCAACTGTTTCTTAGAAAACTTGAAATAAAAATGAGAAATAAAGACTGCAGAAGTTTATAACAGTAACTTCATTTTAAGGTTCATTTGGTCTTGTTTATTGAAAAAAAAAGGTTTTATAACTATATATATGTACATCTGCCACAGTACAATCTCCTCGATTCCCTGCTCTAAAGCAGTATTTCGTAAACATTTTATATTAGAAACGAAAGGAGTTTTGTCTGGTAGTTTTTTTTTACTTCATCTTCTTACTAATGGGCACCATAAAATCTGATGTTTTTAATAAAGCATTCATCTGTGAACACAACAGATTAGAAAAACCATTTGCAGAAAAATTAATAACTGAACATCCAGAATAACAAGCATATCATCTCTCAATCTGGGCTCAAAGTTTTGATTTGCTATACAAATGCCATTTTGAAGAAAACAATTCTGGAAAAACAGTAGAATAAAAGACAATGCATTTTGAAACTGCATGTAAAGCACCTCCAAGAGAATATAGAAAAACACCATAAGGGTACGTCTGTGATGCTAAACTATGGTCAACTGTTACATGCACAAACAAAAATAACCTCACATGAAAGCTCAGTTTTTCCTCTTCTTCCTCCATGCCCAGGAGGGAGAAGAAATCAGAATTCATTTGCTCTTTAAGAGATGCCTAGTTTTTGGTACAAGAACCCAGAAATCATGACTTAAAAGGAAAATCAGTTAACCACCAAACAAGCCAGTAGCAAACCTTGTGGTTTTGTATGTTAACTGTACAAGTCTTTTGTACACAGATAGAGTCTGAGAGAAACTAATGGGGGCATTATTTAAATCCCAGATGATAAGCATTCATACGATCAGAAGTAATAAAGAACAAAACATTATGTTTGAAATTGACTTAGCAGTTAAACTTTTGAGAACAGCCTTTAAGGTGTAAGTTAAATCTCTATATTTACCTCAAAATTACAATACACATCATTTCCTGATCCAATGGGTTCCCTAGTTTCCTGTTGGGTATATATGTTGTTGTTGTTTAGTTGTTAAGTCATGTTCGACTCTTCATGACCCCATGGACCAGAGCATACTATGCTTTCCTGTCTTCCACCGCCTCCCGGAGTTGGGTCAAATTCATGTTGGTAGCTTCGATGATACTGTCCAAACATCTCGTCCTCTGTCGTCCGCTTCTCCTCTTGCCTTCACACTTTCCCAACATTGCAGTCTCTTCCAGGGAGTCTTCTCTTGTCATGAGATAGCCAAAGTATTGGAGCCTCAGCTTCAGGATCTGTCCTTCCAGTGAGCACTCAGGGTTGATTTCCTCCAAAATGGACAGGTTTGTTTCCTTTGCAGTACAGGGGACTCTCACGGATCTCCTCCAGCACCACAATTCAAAAGCATCAATTCTTCAGCGGTCAGCCTTCTTTATGGTCCAGTTCTCACTTCCATACATCAGTCCTGGAAAAACCGTACTTTTGACTATGTGGACTGTCAGCAAGGTGATGTCTCTGCTTTTTAAGATGCTGTCTAGGTTTCTTGTCACTTTCCTCCCAAGAAGCAACCGTCATTTAATTTCGTGGTTGCTGTTAACATCTGCAGTGATCGTGGAGCCCAAGGAAGTAAAATCTGTCACTGCCTCCATATCTTCCCATTCTATTTGCCAGGAGCTCATTGGACCAGTGGCCATGATCTTAGTTTTTTTTCATGTTGAGCTTCAGACCTTTTTTTTTTTTTTTTTTTTTTTTTTTTTGTCTTCTTCTTTTTTCCCCTCAAAACCACGAGACAGAGTGAGCTCTCGTCGCTTGTTCCAGCTCCTGCCAACCTAGCAGTTCAAAAGCATGCAAATGCAAGTAAATAGGTACCACCTCGGTGGGAAGGTAACGGCGTTCTGTGTCTAGTTGCGCTGGCTACGTTACCATGAAAGATTGTTTTCAGACAAATGCTGGCTCTGCGGCTTGGAAACGGGGATAAGCAACGTGCCCTAGAGTTGGACACGACTGGACAAATTGGCAAGGGGAACCTTTACCTTACCTTTCACCCTCATTAAGGGTTTCTTTAAGTCATCCTCACTTTCTGCTATCAGAGTGGTATCATCTGTTGATATTTCTTCTGGCAATCTTAATTCCAGCTTCGGATTCATTCATTCCAGCTTTTCATATGATGTATTCTGCATATAAGTTAAATAAGCATGGGGACAATATACAGCCTTGTCGTACTGCTTTCCCAGTTTTGAACCAATCAGTTGTTCCATATCCAGTTCTAACTGTTGCTTCCTGTCCCACATATAGATTTCTCAGAAGGTAGATAAGGTGGTTAGGCACTCCCATTTCTTTAAGAATTTGCCACAGTATGTTGTGGTCCACACAGTCAAAGGCTTTTGTGTAGCCAATGAAGCAGAAGTAGATGTTTTTCTGGAACTCTCTGGCTTTCTCCATAATCCAGTGCATGTTTGCAATTTGGTCTCTAGTTCCTGTGCCCCTTTGAAATCCAGCGTGTACTTCTCCGAGTTCTCGGTCCACAAACTGCTGAAGCCTACCTTGGAGGATTTTGAGCAGAAGCTTGCTAGCATGTGAAATGAGTGCAATTGTATGGTAGTTGGAGCATTCTTTGGCACAGCTTTGGGATTGGGATGTAGACTGATCTTTTCCAATCCTCTGGCCAGAGCTGAGTTTTCTAAACTTGCTGGCATATTGAGTGCAGCACCTTAATAGCGTCATATTTTAAATTTTAAATAATTAAACTGGAATGCCATCACCTCCACTGTCCTTGTTATTAGCCATGCTTTCTAAGGCCCACTTGACTTCACTCTCCAGGATGTCTGGCTCAAGGTCAGCAACCACACTATCTGGGTTGTCTGGGGCATCCAAATCTTTCTGGTATAATTCCTCTGTGTAATCTTGCCACCTCCTCTTGATGTCTTCTGCTTATGTTAGGTCCCTCCCATTTTTGTCCTTTATCATGTCCTTCTGTGCACAAAAGGTTCCTTTAATAGCTCCAATTTTCTTGATCAGATCTCTAGTTTTTCCCTTTCTATTATTTTCCTCTATTTCTTTGTACGGTTCATTTAAGAAGGCCCTCTTGTCTCTCCTTGTTATTCTTTGGAAGTCTGCATTCAATTTTCTTTACCTTTCCCCATCTCCCATGCATTGTTTCCCTTCTCTTCTCTGCTATTTGCACAGCCTCATATTTATACTCTAATTTCCCCCGCAATACTGTTAGAATGACACTATGGCGAAGTGCATGCACTGAAGTAGTCCGTGAAAGATAGTATGAATATGTTAGATAATTCAGAGACAAAAGTAGGTACAGTGGGGGCTTGACTTGAGAACTCAGCCTCATATTTATACTCTAATTTCCCCCGCAATACTGTTAAAATGACACTATGGCGAAGTGCATGCACTGAAGTAGTCCGTGAAAGATAGTATGAATATGTTAGATAATTCAGATACAAAACTAGGTACAGTGGGGTCTTGACTTGAGAACTTAATCTGTATTGGAAGGCGGTTCTCAAGTCAAAAAGTTCTCAGGTCAAATCTGCATTTCCCATAGGAATGCATTGAAAACCATTTGATCCGTATCTGCTCTTTTCCGTCCATAGAAACTAATGGGAAGCTGCTATTCTGCCTTCGACCACTAGAGGGGGATATTTTGTTTCTTTTTTTCTTAGGTCAAGAAAGGTTCAGGGAAGGCAGGGAAAATACAGTCCAGGCAGTACCAGGCAGTCTGAAGACTGTCTCCCAATCCACTCTCTAAACGCTGGGAGGAGTGAGGAAGCAGACAGGCACCCTTTTCACTGGCCAACAGTTAACTGAAAGTTCACATTTTGCACTTTCCCTGCCTCCCACATGGTTTTTTTTTCAGTTCTTAACTCAAATCTAAGTACTTAAGTCAAGTCAATATTTTCCTATGAGAGTGGTTCTTAAGTCAAAATGTTCTTAACTCAAGCCGTTCTTAAGTCAAGACCCCACTGTAGCAGTATATGAATATGTATGTGGATATATTTTGATTCACATAAGTTTTCATACCAAATATAGATTCATTGTCTGAAAATGACAACACTGAATGTTGAGCAAAATAGTTGGTTAGTTAGTGAATGAATGAATGAATGAATAAATAA